CGCCATGTCTCAGTGCTTTTATGAAGAGAACGCATCTGCGCACCTTTCGGATAGCGCATCAAGAACCGGGTTGAACGGTTACTCGGTACCACCGGTACTTAAAAAAACCTGGTACCGTAACGTTTTCATTTTTTTAGTACCGACTTGGTACATAACTTAATTACTAAAAAATTAAACTAGAATTTAAATAAGCTGAACATAAAAATTTAAAGCAAAACTGAAATAAAATGTATTAAACCTTAATTATAATATTCAAAAAGAACAAAAACTAATAAAAATGGCAAAAGCACATAACATAATTATAAAAAAATGAAAGTAAATAGAAACTGAAAAATATAAGTTAAAATTAAAAGATAAAACCATTATTAATATTAATAAAAACAATAATAGTATTTAAATTGTACTAAGCACTGCAGAGAGTTGGTTTGATTTATTTATTGGTTGATTTTTCCTTACGCTGTAATAAATGAAAATGTCACTCGATCACTTTTTTGGCTCTGAACTGCCTCCTGGGTATCATTGTGTTTTCACTGGAAACAATGGAGTAGAGACAGACAGACAGAAAGCTGGGACGTTTCCCGCTCCTCCCTCGGTCTTCCTCTTCTTTGTGTAAAGCGGCAGCAGTCGCTGAACTCGCTGTCGTTTTGATCATGACAGATGAAATGGAAAGAGCTGGAAGGTTTTATAGGTTCAGATGTTAAACTGGGCGTTGATTGCGAGCGCTCTGTTTTCACAGCATTAGCGTTCCTCCACCAGACGCCTGTGAAGTAATTTAGAGCAAAAACTCATCATAAATACATTACATTGCATTAAATATGTCTGAAATCAAAGCCGCAGTAATGCTGCGTTCACGCTGTGTCACATTCACCATAATTATGAGTTTCCGACTTGTGAAAACTGTTCACATCTTGTAATTACAAGTTGAATTTTATGAAAGAACGCTGTATTGTCACATCAAAACTACTTCCGCAGTTGAGTTATGAAGCTCTGATCATGTGACCACCTCATGTCTTTGATTATGATTATGATGTCTGATTAATGTGTGTATGTATATTTGTGAGTGTTTTACTGTCGTCCAAACTAAACCGCACATGAGTTTCTCATCTGATGATGTTCTACAGCTGCTGTAAACCTGTCTATCTCTGTCTGTCTCTGTCACAGAGGTGCTGATGAACACGAAGCTAGAAACATCTGATCTCAGATGGACCAGCTACCCTAGCAGTGACCCTGAGGTGAGACTAGGGCTGCACGATAAATCGCATGCGATATTTAACGCGCATCTTATCAGTAAAGCTGGTTCTGTAATCAGCGGTAAATCTCCATCACCTGCGTGCTTTCACATTGAGCAGCATTAACTACACAGAGCCGTTGTTCACTGACGAGCTGCGCAAAAAATCGTGCGAATATGAACGTGGTTTAGCTGCTCTCGTCGGTTAAATATCGCATGCGATTAATCGTGCAGCCCTAGCTGAGATACAACTATTTGAAAATCTGGTATTTGAGGTTTAACCGGCTTGACTGATAAGATGCGCGTTAAATATCGCATGCGATTAATCGTGCAGCCCTAGGTGAGACACACACACACACACCTACATGAACTCACGTGACTGTCAAAAGAACATTCCAGGTTAACATCCTCATGAAAAATAAAAATAAATAAATACAAAATACCACTAGCTGTGTTTATATGCACATCAGTATTTTGTAATAGTTTGATCAGCTTTTGATCTGATAAACTCAGAATTAGTGAGATATAAACTCAGAATTAGTGAGATACAAACTCAGAATTAGTGAGAAATAAACTCAGAATTAGTGAGATACAAACTCAGAATGAGTGAGAAACAAACTCAGAATTAGTGAGATATAAACTCAGAATTAGTGAGATATAAACTCAGAATTAGTGAGAAGAAAAGTCTGAATTGTGAGATAAAAAGTCACAGTTTCTATTTTATATTTTTATTCCGAGGCAGAAACGGGCTTCCATGCAAACACCACAATCCAATTAGCTTAAAACAATGTTCAGGTTCCCAGTCCTGGAATAAGCTTGTTTTAATGGGAAATCAGTTGCATATGTGATTGTCCAGACCGCAGGAACTTATGGGTGCTAACAGATACTGAGCTGTAGGTTAGGTGTTTAGGATCATAGAGAGACAACCATGCTGATTATTTCATACAATTACTAAAGGAAATTAACATTAACTAGTGTTTTTGTTATAATGATTGTCTGCTGCTTTCCATTTGGTGTTGCTGGGTATTTTTGAGGGTGGAAGTCCTAATTAAATTACTGTGTAAAGTAGTATTTAAACTAATTACTGAGCACTAAACCAACAGCAGCATCTGGAATCTCTTGGGAAATAACAGCAGGAAATAAAACACACAACAGCCACAAATTCAGGAATATTCCCATACCTGCACACATTTGTGACCCTGCAGCACAAAACCAGTCATAAGCAGCACAGGTATATTTGAAGAGTTTGGTTCCAAAACGCTATAAATCCATTTTGATTAATTTGAGTAAAAAAGTGTTTTCTTTACCAAGAAGTAAAAATGTGTTTTCTTTACCAAGAAAGTGGCAAGATGAAAACCACTATTTTCTGTTTCAAACTTTCACGTAGCATCTTTAGGTTATAATAACATTAACAATTCAAATCCAGATTTTGATTTTCAAAGATTTATTATCAAATTTTATAATTTTTTTCCAAAATGCAATAAATCCATTGAATCAATATAAAAGTCATTTTTCATATTGAAACTGTTGAAAATACACAACATAGTAAGTTGTTCCACATATGACAGCCTCTGAACTTGGTCAGTGCTAATCTTATGTGCAGGCACTGGACTAAAATACATTAAATCAGTCATCGCTCCAAAAAGAATTCAACGGGTCATCTTGTTAATGCTATAAATTAATTACAACACTAAAAGAAAATTTCATCATGAACAATATCACATTAAACCACAGAAAAGTGCGTGGAATGGTGCGCTGTGATTGGTTGAGTGGATATATCGCATTCTGCAGAAAAGGGAGACTGGTGTTTGTCGCGGTTTGGAAAAAAAGGGAGAAAACATGACAGAATAACTCGGCGGATATCGCATTTTGCGTAAAATTAAAAATGGACTTTTCAATACCGACCAGATACAATACTGATTTTGGCAGAAACTCAATTTTTTCGAAAATGCCGTTTATCGCGTTTTGGAACCAAACTCTTCATTTGTAGCAATAACCAACAATACATTGTATGGGTCAAAATTGATGATGTAGGAAAAAAAGATGATGTAGAAATCTCAATTTCACAAAATTAACCCTTATGATTGGTTTTGTGCTCCAGGGTCTCATATAAACACTGTAATCAGAAGAAGGCTGGAACTGGATTATCCAGCAGAGCTGATGTGCATGTAAACTCAGACACTGTTTACATATTGATGACATCTAGTGATTATATTCTGGGGAAAGATGGTGATCTTAAAATCATGTGCAGTAGGACAGAGTCAGTCTGTCGTTAAGTTCTGTGTTGCACATGATGTTGATGAGCACCGAAGATAACTCCATGCTGTGAGGTCAGAAGCTGTTTTAATGCTCATTGATGACGCTGATGTTTCTCAGTGGGAGGAGATGAGCGGTTTGGATGAGGAGGGCAACAGCGTCCGCACCTTTCAGATCTGCCCCATGGACACGTCAGTGAGTCACTGGCTGCGCACGCGCTTCATCCCGCGGCGCGGAGCGACTCAGGTGTATGTGGAGATCCGCTTCACTGTGATGGAGTGTTCGGCCATGCCTTCCAGCTTCCGCACCTGCAAAGAGACCTTCAACCTGTACTATTACCAGAGCGACGAGGACACGGCCAGCAGCACACACCCCGCCTGGATGGAGAACCCCTACAGCAAGGTACACACACACACACACACACTCACAGAGACACACACACACACTCACACTCACACACTCACAGAGACACACACACTCACAGAGACCCGAGACGCTCCCTCACTCGCTGGTGCAGCAGGCCGAGGGCGTGTGCGTCACAAACTCCGCCCCCACAGGCCAAGCCCCGCCCACCATGTTCTGTGGGGAGGACGGCCAGTGGGTGGGGCCTCCGTCCTCCACCTGTGAGTGTAAACCGGGGTTCGAGCCGGTGGACTCCGACCACTGCAGGGGTGAGTAAACCTTCACAGGAAACAGCAGGAAGTGACATCAGCGGTGCAGGCGGAGCTTGTGCTCTTGTCATGTTTGTGTGCGATGCACATCAAGTGCTCCTTGAGCGTTTTTTAATGATTTTTCTCTGTATAGTTGTTGTTTTTTGGCAGAGGCGGACAGTAGTGAAGTATTTTTACTCCTGTCTGTACTTTATCAGTGTTTTTCTTTAGAAAACTTTACTTCACAACATTCCAAAGAATAATATTGTACTTTTTACGTTTCATATTAAATATCATTTAATACTTAATTACATTAGAAATCTAGTACTTTTTTTACTTTTTAATTAAAAGTAATTCAAAGTTTTACTTGAGTACAAGAAAGTACTACATTTTTAATGATCTTAAGTATTAAAGATAAAAAAACAACAACTTTTATTTATGAAATGTAGTGCAGTAAAAAGGAAGCCATTCTGCTTTGGAATGTAGCAAAGTAAAAGTTTTCCAAAGAATAACACTGATAAACTACTTTTTAAATTTATTTGAGTAAAGTAAAAATACTTTCACTACTGTCCGCCTCTGTTTTTGGTCACTTTTCACTATTTACGTATTTATTAAACATGCACAGAAACTGAACATTTTGATAAAATGATGCAGTGATATTTAACAGCAAATCTTGAAATAAATCACAAAATGCCCTTTAATTTAATATTTATCCTAACATCTGATCAAACGTCGGATTTTCGTGTTTTATTGAATTCGTTGAACTGATCTGAAACACCCTCGTCTAGTAGTCGTTCATTTAGTCGACTAATGAACCAGCGCACCGCAGAAGCTATGATTATGAATGAATCAGGGAAAAACAGCAAGGAGGCTGCATTAACATTTTAATAATTCACTGATAAACTAGTGCTTTCTTTGTTAAGAGACGAAGTCGGCGACACCGACTCTTTGAGATACTGTTATAATTTTAGTTAATATTTTAAATGAGATATTTTATTATTTTCTGCTTTCATGTTCATTTTTAGGCTTTAGTCATTCACACACACGCACGCGCTCACAGAGACTCTCACACTCACAGAGAGACACACACACACACCCCGCCTGGATGGAGAACCCCTACAGCAAGGTACACACGCACACACTCACACACTCACAGAGACACACACACACTCACTCACTCACACACACACACTCTCTCTTACACACACACACACATGTTTTTCCTGTAAAAGCATCAGGATTTCATTTACGGTTGAATTCTTATGGTCCGGATCTCTTGCTCTCCTCTCGTCCTGCAGGTGGACACAGTCGCGGCTGACTTCCTGTTGCGTCGCGGCGGAGAGAGGAAGTCTAACGTGAAGACGGTGCGCGTGGGTCCGCTGTCGAAGAAGGGCTTCTACCTGGCGTTCCAGGCTCAGGGCGCGTGTATGGCCCTGCTCTCCGTCCGCGTCTTCTTCAAGAAGTGCCCCGCCATCACCCGCGCCTTCTCCTCCTTCCCCGAGACGCTCCCTCACTCGCTGGTGCAGCAGGCCGAGGGCGTGTGCGTCACAAACTCCGCCCCCACAGGCCAAGCCCCGCCCACCATGTTCTGTGGGGAGGACGGCCAGTGGGTGGGGCCTCCGTCCTCCACCTGTGAGTGTAAACCGGGGTTCGAGCCGGTGGACTCCGACCACTGCAGGGGTGAGTAAACCTTCACAGGAAACAGCAGGAAGTGACATCAGCGGTGCAGGCGGAGCTTGTGCTCTTGTCATGTTTGTGTGCGATGCACATCAAGTGCTCCTTGAGCGTTTTTTAATGATTTTTCTCTGTATAGTTGTTGTTTTTTGGCAGAGGCGGACAGTAGTGAAGTATTTTTACTCCTGTCTGTACTTTATCAGTGTTTTTCTTTAGAAAACTTTACTTCACAACATTCCAAAGAATAATATTGTACTTTTTACGTTTCATATTAAATATCATTTAATACTTAATTACATTAGAAATCTAGTACTTTTTTTACTTTTTAATTAAAAGTAATTCAAAGTTTTACTTGAGTACAAGAAAGTACTACATTTTTAATGATCTTAAGTATTAAAGATAAAAAAACAACAACTTTTATTTATGAAATGTAGTGCAGTAAAAAGGAAGCCATTCTGCTTTGGAATGTAGCAAAGTAAAAGTTTTCCAAAGAATAACACTGATAAACTACTTTTTAAATTTATTTGAGTAAAGTAAAAATACTTTCACTACTGTCCGCCTCTGTTTTTGGTCACTTTTCACTATTTACGTATTTATTAAACATGCACAGAAACTGAACATTTTGATAAAATGATGCAGTGATATTTAACAGCAAATCTTGAAATAAATCACAAAATGCCCTTTAATTTAATATTTATCCTAACATCTGATCAAACGTCGGATTTTCATGTTTTATTGAATTCGTTGAACTGATCTGAAACACCCTCGTCTAGTAGTCGTTCATTTAGTCGACTAATGAACCAGCGCACCGCAGAAGCTATGATTATGAATGAATCAGGGAAAAACAGCAAGGAGGCTGCATTAACATTTTAATAATTCACTGATAAACTAGTGCTTTCTTTGTTAAGAGACGAAGTCGGCGACACCGACTCTTTGAGATACTGTTATAATTTTAGTTAATATTTTAAATGAGATATTTTATTATTTTCTGCTTTCATGTTCATTTTTAGGCTTTAGTCATTTTATTTTATTTATTTATTTTTTGTCATTTTTAGTTTTAGCTATTTTAGTACATTGAGTTAAACCAGATACAAAGTAGAATAGTTGACTCGGAAACTAGCTGAAATAAAATAAGTTAAAGTTTTCTATATTTTACTTTATTTCAGTTAACATTTATTTTATTTTCGGTAAGAATTTTTTTATGTTTTTAGTTTTAGATAACTATAATAATAACCCTGATCTGCATGCATACATTAATTACACGCATACTAACTCAAAAACCTCGATTCAGTTGCTGCGTTAAATTTAAGTGTAATAACTGTACAAGTTACTTCAAATTACATTATATTAAACAGACTTTAAAAATTGAGCTGAATCTCATAATTTAAAAAATTAAGTTGAAACATGTTTTTTACTTCCATTAAAGTAATGGAAAAACGTTACCATGACTAATTGGTTATATAATATTTTATAGTGTAGAGTGATATATACTATGTAACAAATCGCAAAATGTAACTCTATTATCGTCCAGCTGTAATCTGATAAATGCAACTATAATGCATGAAGATATTAAGATATTATAAACATGAACATCAGTATTTTCTGTAAAGCTGCTTAGAAACTGTGCCACTTTGTTGTGGTTTCCAGGAGCTTTGGGCCTATAAATGCATGCATATATACACAAGAGAATTTAAATTAAATAAAATGTAAATAGATTTAAATGTATTTTTTGTTCTCAATCCTACTTCTTTAGATGTTTCTATGCGTGCATGTGCTCAATGAGCTCTTGAACCGAACGATTGGTTAAGAGGAAGAGCAGCGAAACTTGGACGGATCAGGTCCTGGTGTTAATTGCGTGTGTGTCACGTTCTAAACGAGCCGTGTGTCCTGCAGCACATGCAGCAGCGCTGTCTCGGTTTCTCTCTCTGTCCTGATGAGAAAAGCAAGCCGTCTGGATCCAGCGTCGCTCTCATTTAGCTGCGTTCGATCTGAAGCAGCTGTGTTTGTACTCGGCGCTCTCTCTCTCTCTCGCTGTGTGTGTGATGGTTAATAGAGCTTGATGAAATGCTCTTTTAATGAGCAGGAATTGGTCTGTGGGTGTGGCTGAGGATTATGGGTAATGCGATCCGTCTCTCTCTGCTTCTTTCTTCTTCTCTCCAGGGGAACATGTTCTTCTGTGAGTGTAATTAGATCGGCTGCAGATGACGAGAATCACGCTGATCGATATCTCATCGCTGTCATTAATCGCTTCTTTATTATGGCTCTACTGATGGGTGAAGTCACTTAGGTTTAGTTAATTACTGGACTTTCTGTTGAGGAATGTGTAACAATTAGAGGAACAGTCTAAACACACAAACACAGCTGTGAACGCCAAAACATGAACAAACCTTACAGCACTGCTCGTTTATGAATCACAAATTATTAATTAATTTATTTTGTATCTTGTCACATTTAACTCACTTCTGCAGACCTCAAACTTTAAATAAACGTACGCACACACACACACACTCACACACACACACTTATCACACACACACTCACTCACTCACTCACTCACACACACACTCACTCACTCACTCACTCTGTTACACACACACACACACACACACACACTGTTACACACACACACACACACACACACAGTGTTACGCACACACACACACTTCTTACACAAACACACACTTGTTTAGTGTGAAAGCCGGGCGTCATTGTTAATTTAGAGTTATTTATATACTATCATAATATTTATCAATATTTTAAATAAAACAACATTTTTATATTTTAATTTTATGTTTTATAATTGTAATTTAGTAATTTTGTTTTGTGCTTTTGTCATTTTTATTAGTATTATCTGTTTGCTTTTATTTTAATTTGAGTATTAGTAATTGTAGTACTTAAACATTTATTACATTTTGGTTAGTTGCCAAGATTTAAGTTTTTAAATTTAAAAAATTTAAATGTTCACAAAAAGGTTTTTGTTTTCATTGTTTTTGATCGATAGAATTGTATTTTTGAAATAAGGTTGTGACAGCAACAACACTGAAGTTTCGCTGACTTTATTGACATGTTTATTAACGTATCTTGTCTCGTTTCTTCTTGCTGTGTTTTGTGTTTGATGTAAATGCTTTGAGAAAGCAACTTTTAAATGTGCTATAAAAATAATTATTATTGATTGATTGATTGATTGATTGATGTTTTAAAAATATGATGTTAATGTGATCCATTGCATTGCCATTTTAGTATCAGTGAGATACTATAACAGTTCTTATTAATATTTTGAATTTGTTTTTATATTTTCTGTTTAAGTTTAAGTCTGTTTTTAGTTGTCCTTTTTTAATGTCTATATTTTTTAATCATTTTTTATTTCAGTTTTAGTTATTTTAGTATATCAAGTTAATGAAAATAAGAAATGTTGCTTTGGCAGCTAGCTGAAATAATATAAGTTACATATATACTGTTGTATTACAAATGTCGAATGATTTTTATTCACATTTAAATTTAGACATTTAGCAGATGCTTTTATCCAAAGCGACTTACAGATGAGGACAATAGAAGCAATCAGAATCAACAAAAGATATTAATTTTTTTAATTATAAAGAATAGAATTAGAATAGAGAGTGCTAGAGTTAGAGGGTCAAATAAAGGTGGAACAGATGTGTTTTTAGTCGTTTCTTGAAGATGGTTAAGGACTCAGCTGCTGGGATTGAGTTGAGCAGGTCATTCCACCAGGAGGGAACAGTTAATGAAAAAGTCCGTGAAAGTGATTTTGTGCTTCTTTGGGATGAACAATAATGCGACGTTCACTTGCAGAACGCAAGCTTCTAGAGGCACATAACTCTGAAGTAATGAATTTAGGTAAAGGGGTGAATCCGTGTATCATTCGATCATTCGTTTTTTGGTTTAATATTGAAAGTAGAAAAATTAGAAAACGGCTCCTTTTTCGTTTTTTTGTTTTTTTTCCCGAAAAACGAGAATTCTGCTTAAATTTTCGTTTTTCATTAATGGGTGGAAAAATGAATAAACAGCTTGAATATTGATTGTTCAGCCGAAGATCAAACCGTGCCATCATCAGTTATCCTCAGGAAAGTTTGAGAGCAGCACATCTAATTCATCCAAGAATTATGGATTTAATTTTGGGTATCTATAACGACACTGATTGTTCATTTTAATGATGATTAACTGTGAACATCGTAGTAGCAGACCGCTGTTTCAGACGGGTAGTTAGACTCGTTAATGAGCTTGTGTGTTTTGTGTGTGTTCTCTCATAGCGTGCGGATCGGGTCAGTATAAAGCGTCTATCGGTGGGAGTTTGTGTCGTGTGTGTCCAGACAACAGTAACACACACTCTCCTGGATCCAGTGTGTGTTTGTGCCGCCCTGGATTCCACCGCGCCGCCAACGACCTTCCTGATTCATCCTGCACCAGTGAGACACACACACACACACTCACACACACACACACACTCTCACACACACACACACACACACACACACACACACACACACACACACACACTCACTCTCTCTCTCTCTCTCACACACACACACACACACACACACACAGATGACCTCTGACCTCTGGCCTGTTCCTGCAGGACCGCCGTCGGCTCCGCGCAGCATTGTCTATCAGATCAATGATACGGTGGTGACGCTGGAGTGGTCAGAGCCGCTGGACCGCGGCAGTCGCTCGGATCTGTCCTACAGCATGGAGTGTGTGCGCTGCAGAGGCTCTGGCTGCGTCCCCTGCGCAGACAGTGTCTCCTACAGGCCGGGGCAGGTGGGTGTGACCGGGAGGCGGGTCATCATCCACGGGCTCCTCCCACACACCACCTACACCTTCACCGTCATCTCCCAGAACGGAGTGAGCGCTGTCAGTCACACAAGCCCCGCCTCCAGCTCCGTCAACATCACCACCAGCAGAGACGGTCAGCACGCTCATAACACTTTAGAGGGGTCATGACATGGATTTTTTTAATTGTTTTAATATGTTCCTTGAAGTTTACTTACAATTATGTTTTTTGCACAAAAAAATAAATGTGACCCTGGAGCACAAAACCAGTCATAAGGGTCAATTATTCGAAATTGAGATTTATGCATAATCTGAAAGCTGAATAAATAAGCTTCAGTTGATGTATGGTTTGTTAGGACAGGACAATATTTGGCCGAGATACAACTATCTGAAAATCTGGAATCTGAGGGTGCAAAAAAATCTACATTTTGAGAAAATCATCTTTAAAGTTGTCCAAATGAAGTTCTTAGCAATGCATATTACTAATCAAAAATTAAGTTTTGATATATTTACGGTAGGAAATGTACAAAATATCTTCATGGAACATGATCTTTACTTAATATCCTAATGATTTTTGGCATAAAAGAAAAATGTATAATTTTGACCCATACAATGTATTGTTGGCTATTGCTACAAATATACCTGTGCTGCTTATGACTGCTTTTGTGCTGCAGAGTCACAAATATATGGAAAAATGATCATTTTCAACCCTCACTCTGACCCTCTGTCTAAAACGAGCTGTTTTAAGGGGTGTGTCCTTTAAGACTTCTCAGTATTCAGCCACTGTTCTGATTGGCTGTCATCATTGCATAGGAAACAGTATCAACGCCCCCTCGGTATTGCATGTGAGTGTTTTGACAACATGATCAAAATAAATCGGTCATTTCCAGACGAAGCATTATGAAATCATTTACTTACGGTTTGTGATGCAGATCTAGTGCCGCTTCATCTTTCAACAGATGTTTCTTTGTGATTCTCCCTGACACTGTGCCTCGATTACAAAACAAAATCCTCCAACACGATCCGGGACGCCATTAAAAATAAACTATCCTCTTGTTCCTTACGCTGGGCTCCTTCTGATATCTGTACAAAGACGTGAATGAGCTGTTTAAACCAAACGTGTCAAAGCGAATGTTCTTTCACTGCATTTGTCCTGACGACAGACAATATATACTGTATACTGTATCCAGTGTAGATAAGATAGTGCAGTGATTGTCATTTCTGTTTGCTTTTGAAGCGACGTGACACTCGCATTCAGCATGATCAAGTGTTAGCCATTAGCAAGTGAACGCCAGTGGGCGGAGCCTATGCTGAGAGGAAGACTATTCGTCGATGTCTTGCTCTGGAGGCGTGTTTATGCAAATGTTTGTGCCCCTGTGACATCATCTTGCGCCTCAGATCCAAACGAGCTGTTTTTGGAGCTCGATTAAATAAATGCTTTGTTTATAATGAGGAGGATGTTTTAAGCTATGAAACTTGCAGGATGTTTTAATGGTACAAAGACCACTTATATGCCAAAAGGTCAAGGAAAAATTTGATTTCTCATGTCATGACCCCTTTAATAATCATTAATTCTGTAAAAACAGAGAAGTCCATACTACAAGTTGTGATTATAGTTATGATTATAGTTCTGAAGCGTGTGTGTGTGTGTGCAGTGGCCGTTCCAGTGTCCGGCATCAGGAGGACTATAGCGTCTGAGAGCAGTGTCTCCATCAGCTGGACGGTTCCTCCACAGACGCAGCACAACATTCTGGAGTATCAGCTGCGCTACAGTCTGAAGGTGAAACAGTCAGACAAGTGTGTGTGTGTGTGTGTGTGTGTGTGTGTGTGGGTGTGCGGGTGATCG